AATCTGGTCTTCATCAAATTAAGTGAATAGCCCAGCTCTGTTGGATCGTGTGAGTGGTCAGACGTACCACAAAAATGTATCTGACATAAACTTTGTTTTAAAATTATTCCATCAATAAAATAATTGTTAAATATTATAAACTTCAATTAATAACACAAATTATTTCAATAGATACAGATATACAACCGAGACTGGCTGACCGAGCAACAGCACAGACCAGCGAGCTGACAAGGCCTGTTTACCAGGTCATGTTGTTCACAGATTTGTTAGCATTAGCGCTGTATACAGCACCTGCAGTGAGAAAGTCTGAAGATGCATGCAGCTTGGGCGTGCACTCGTAAATTTGTTGAAGATTTTCGGCTGTAAACATCGCTGTGGTCTACATCGTTCACTCCTACACATTTCCTTACAACGCTACAGAGACAGAGGCCGCCATGTTAGAATCCAACGTTGTTAGACTGCAACAATGTCATGTTAGACTCCAACTCCATGTTATACTGTAACGTCATGTTAGACACCAACCCCATGTTAGACTGTAACAACGTCATGTTAGACACCAATTCCATGTTATATTGTAACAACGTCATGTTAGACTCCAACTCCATGTTATACTGTAACAACGTCATGTTAGACTCCAACTCCATGTTAGACTGTAACAACGTCATGTTAGACTCCAACGTTACAGAGACCAACATGGAGCCTAACATAAATCCAATTCTTCATATTCAATTTGAATGTCTATTATTATTAAATCAACATCGCTCACTCCTACACATTCCCCTATAACTTTACAGAGACCAACGTCTACTATAACATGATTCAAATTCTTCATATTGAGTTTGAATATCTATTAATCTATTAATATTAAATAATTTTTTCGACGTACTTTAATTAGATATAGAGCATACAAGATGATGTATTGAGGTTCCGGCGCTTGCGTTGTGTTATGTTATGCCTGAGGGCGGAGAGATTCGCTGGTGCCAAATGTATTGCGTGTCACTGGGCACTTTAATGGCGACGTCAAACAAACTCGGTGTCCCGTAGCCGAATCCTCTACTTGTGTCTACCGCTTGCTCGGTACGAGCCAATATAGTTGCCAATAATATGAATATCTAAGCCAATTATTGGCATAAACAGATTAATTAACACAGTAACTTCTTTGTCAATAAAAACATACCGTGAGCGGATAAGTTCTAAATTAGATCGTCCCTTATTCACTCAAATAAAAGGAAAATTATACATTCTCCCGTATTTGACTTTTATAGCTCAATTCCGTATGAACTTCTCAACTAATAGCCATGTTTTTTTTATTTGAACCGGACCCTGAAATTTTGAATTTTCATGTACCATAAATAATATACGTTACAAAAAAAAACAGGTCATCATGCGGGTCTTTGTTTTATTTTAATAATGTGATGCGAGATTATCTGAGTTTTGTACAATTATTAGCTCTTCCAACGTCATGATTCTGATAGCCAGTCGTATTTTATTAATTAACAAATTGCTATAGATTACTAAAATTCTGAAATATTCTCGATTATTTTAATAAAAGACTATTAAACGATATATGGTAGCACGCATTATGTTGCATCAATAAAGTGTCATATCGCCGGCATCACAATAGCCGTGATGACGGTCACCCTAGTCGTAATTACGGTCACCCTAGTCGTGATGACAGTCACCCTAGTCGTGATGACGGTCACCCTAGTCGTGATGATTGTCACCCTAGTCGTGATGACAATCACCCTAGTCGTGATGACGGTCACCCTAGTCGTGATGACGGTCACCCTAGTGGTGATGACGGTCACCCTAGTCGTGATGACAGTCACCGTAGTCATGATGACGGTCACCCTAGTCGTGATAGTGATGATAGTCACCCTAGTCGTGATGACGGTCACCCTAGTTGTGATGACGGTCACCCTAGTTGTGATGACGGTCACCCTAGTCGTGATGACGGTCACCGTAGTCGTGATCACGGTCACCTTAGTCATGATGATAGCCACCCTAGTGTGATGACAGTCACCCTAGTCGTGATGATAGTCACCCTAGTTGTGATGATAGTCACCTTAGTCAGGTTAACTATGACTAGTCAGGTTGCCAACATCGACATTGACTAGTCAGGTTCGATGACTAGTCAGGTTGCCAACAGAGAACTCCGCCCCTTGACGCGCGGACGGAAATAGAGCTTTGCTTCACCCGGCGCTTATTTAGTCACCCGGCGGTTGAAATTGTCGCGGTTGAACATCACCCCGGGAGCCAGGCTCAATAATCACCCGTAAGTTGAACCCTTCTTTTAGACTGACTGCGATAACAACCTTGAGGAAGATACATTTTTTTCCGACAACTCAGACTTGCCATCACAAGCGTGAACAACCCAAAACACATGCAACAAAAAACTACTTGAATGGACCCGTTCATTCATGTCCCTAAACAATCCATGTCCATCCCCGTTAAATTTTCCAGACCTCGCAATGACCAACATCTGCTTGCTACAGCCTCCAGTTGCATTAAATTCGTTGAAGAACACAAGAAAAAAACTAACTGAAACTGTGAGACACTGACTCAGCTACACTAATAAACTTTTCAAGACGAGCCAAACTTAGCATTGCCGAACTTGACGCAAGCTAAGTGAATTATGACAGCTTCAACGCCATAGAATAACATAATATTATCAAAATAATCTCTCACTTAAAAAACAATAGAAGAGTGAATTCCTAAATTCACTTATACCAACATATGATGACATTCCAATTCTCTCCCAAAAAACTTCTATGTAGAACATAGTATTAGAACAAGTTGGTCTCATAACACAAAAAAAATCGAGAGAATTATTCGCCAATATAACACAGAACTGGTTGGAATCCCTATGGGACTTAGCTAATTCTTTACATTATCTCATTGCAGGTATGTTATCACTTCGAGTTATTATTTCAAGTTATCAATTTTTATCATATCAAATTATCATCATGCTTACAATTATCGTATCATTTAAGTGTATTTTTATGTTGATGAATGGCGGCTAGGGCCAGATATATCATGAGCGGCAACAGCTGTAGATCACTATCGGATTACTCTACATTCGGCAGTAAACATTTTTTTTTATAATCAACGATCGATTTTAACCCCAGAGTGTTGACGCAACACCCGGAAGGCTCCTGCCACTATATAGAAATAGTCCCTCTCGACGACACTCATATAGTAAATCGTAACTAGTCAGTGGCATCATTGGGTCTATTTTAGGAAGAGCATCAGCCCCTAAAAATATTCTTAAGCCCCTCTACATGTCCATGTATTAATTGAATTTATTAATTTATTATTTATTTTGTGTGATATATAATATATTTACGTATATATTTAATATATTTATTTAATGTAATAATTTATTACGTACGTGATTTTTTGAGTGAAAAAAAAAATCCGGCGTATTCATTACGAAATGGACTGAATATGTGGCCTATGAACACACAGTGTTTCTGTGTTGTAATTGTACTGCAAAAAAATGTTATTCGCCATTTGTGAAATTAAACGTTCCCTCACATCCCAAACATCTCCTGGAGGCTTAACCCCCTTGTTCCTAAATCATAAGTCACGCCTCTAGCCTTCGCAAATCTTGAATGCGAATCGGACTCAGCAGACAAATTCACTCATGCACCACAATATAACCTTAATCCTAAACCTAGAACATGAAGACAAATTTTCTAGCTTGAAAATTGCACAGAAATATTGCAAGACGTAATAGACGTTGCCATCTCCCATATTAATCACCTAGCATTCCTGAATTCCAACCATAAATGTCCCGACGCGTTTTTGATATGCAAAAAACCTTTTCAATCACCATAAAAATTAATTATGACCATGCATTTTGCCTACTGGAAGGTTGGGCACATTTTAATTTTTCCTCCTTTTAGCGTAAACCTGAAATCCAACCATAAATGTCCCAACGGGGTTTTGATATGCATAAGACTTTTCAATCACCATAAAAATATATTACGAGCATTTTGCCAACATATTGGCACATTTTAATTTTTCCTCCTATTAGTATAAACTCGGCGACGTCTTCCCTCTTCCCACACGCCCCAGCACCCGGTAGTTTAAAACAACTGTCGCTCTAATGCATTATACGGTACAGAAAAAATCATTAAAAGAAAGAGACGCGTGTGGGTAATTTTCCTAAGCTAACAGTACAGGCTGAAGAGAAAAAATTATTATTAAAGTTCATTTATCACACAAAATATAATAAAAAATCAACTTGGAGCTGAAAGTAAAGTAATTATTAAAGTTCATTTATCGCACAAAATAGAATACACACAAAATATATAAACACAGCAAAATAACTATTAAAAATCAGCATATCACACAAAATGAGCGGTGCAACAGACGAGACGCGCAAAATTAAAGACAATCAAGTGAAATTATTATATATTTTTATTTATTATATATGTAAGACAATCAAGAGAAATTATTTAAGGATAAAGAATTGCAATGGGGCTTACTTTGTATACACGCAAAATATAAGACACAAAAATAACTATCAAAAATCAACATATCACACAAAATGAGCGGTAATACAAGCGAACGGCGCAATATGAAAAACAATCAAGAGAAATTATTCAAGGATAAAAATTGCAATGTGGCTTACTTTGTATACACACAAAATATATTGACACAAAAATAACTATTAACTAAAAAATCAATATATCACGCAAAATGAGCGGTACGACAAACGAGAAGCGCAAAATTAAAGACAATCAAGAGAAATTATTTAATGATAAAAACTGCAATTTTATAATTATTGAAATTTTATAATATTATTAATTATTTATACTTGTTTATTTATATTTATATTATGTTTATTATTTATATAATAAATATAATTTAAAATAAATAAATAAATAATTTATATTATGTTTATTATTTATTATATGTTTATACTTGTTTATTTATATTTATATTAAACTGAAATTTTATAATTATTGTAATTTATAAGAAATATGTCTTACTTTGTATGTTGGCTTCCTTGGATGCGATTTCTTTGTTCATCTCGCCGATCTGCACCTCGAGTTCCACTTGACGCCGATATTTTTCTCTGACCATTTCTTCGAATTCTTCATTTTGTTGACGTAGCAACAACATTTCGACTTGTAGCTTCTCTAACGCCCTCTTACTGCTCTCTTCTTCCGTTTCTTGTTCCTCTTGTTCGTCATTACTTTGCTCTTTGTCCTCTATTAATATTTTTTTCTCTTCCTCTTCTTCTTTTCGCTTACGCTCGTTTCGTTCTTGCTCTTCTCTTATACGCCTCTCTTCTTTCTCTCTCAGCTCTTTTATTTCCTTGTCTCTCGTATATCTCTCTTCCCGTTCACGCTCTTCTCTTTCCTCTCGCTCTCTTCTGTGCTTCTCTTCTAGCTCCTGCTTCTCTCGCTCAAGTTTCAGCTTCATCTCTTCCTGTTCTTTCCTGTTCTGCTTCTGCGCCTCCTGCAGTGCCGCGGCCGCCTCACTTTTGGCCCTGGCCAATTCCTGCTCTTTTTGGGCCAATAAGGCCGTCAAGCTCTCAACTTGGCCGTCATATCGGCCTTGTAGTGCGGCCAGTTCCTTCCTGGGGACAGAGAACAAAATACTGTTAAATGCTTTACATTTTACCTGGTATAAGTAAAATACACATTACAGTAAGTGACTCTTTCAGTCCTCCGGTGTCAATGGCTAAATGGTGTGTGTGGGGTTTTAGCGGTAAAAATGCGTACGCAGGTTCTTTTTTGGTTATGCGTTACGTTCACGGCTCTATTGAATTTATTTTTATTGAAATTTCAGGAAAGTTTTTTTATGGAATCTATAAACGCAATTCGATCAAACGTAAACTTGACACCAATTCTCAATAATGATCAATCAACTTTATGTTGAATTCCGTGTTCGTTTTCTATCATTAGTAATGGAGATTTTTTTTAAGATGACATTAAAGTATCTGAATAATTCTTCCCAGCGCCCAATAATTAAGTGGCAAAATCCTGCATTATTTCACTTATATTTAGTTCTAAGTCAATTAACTGTCTGCTAAAAACATAAAAAACGTTTTTATCATAAACATAAAACGATTTTTTAAATTGGTATCGGCTGTGGAGGGATCCTCGTTGGCGGGACAAAGGCTGAACGAGGTACATAAGCATTCCGGCTACAATACTTAACTTCTGTGTAAGTTCCTACAAACTTTTCATGAGTCTACCATTTGACTCATTTTTCACCAGAGTTTACCTTGATTGTTGATTGATTTACCATCATTTAGTTGAGAAACACGCGTGTGAGTGTGTGGAGAGAATCGTTGATGGATACCTATACGAATAAATTTTCTGTTGTAAATGCTTGAATACGTCATTGATTACGAAATACATTGTTATTTAATACCTGTATTGGCATGGCATAATACCTGTTCGTGTCATGGTCGTCATACATAGCTGACGAGCATTTTTGTATAATAATATTTTTGTTTATGCTTTAAGAGGACGGGCCAGTAACCGGAGCAATACTGTCACAAGTCTACTTCCCAAAAAGGATACGTTATAGTGAGCGCAAAATGACTTGCACTGATGGTTGCCGCCACGTACGACAACTTTAAAATGTTCTCTGTTGAGTACTAACGTTCTCAGGTTGCTAGACTCAATAGTTTACTTATAATTTAAGTTGAAAGTCATGTTCCCGGAGAGTGGCATACGGCGGTAGAGGGTTAAGTTGAAAGTTATGTTCCCGGAGAGTGGCATACGGCGGTAGAGGGTTAAGTAATAGTTAAAATTCCAGTTAACTCAGAAGTTCCAATTAAAGGGATGTCTAACTGAGTATAGTGAACAATAAGGACATGATTTGAAAATACCATCGATATTTCCGATGATATCTGCTCACCGTGTTAGTTCAAGTTCTCTTCGCTCGAAGGAAGCATCCTTGGTTAGGTGATAGGAGCAAGGACATTCTGATGCATCCTGCCTCAAAACATTCAGTTTCCCATCGGAATGATAAAGTTTTTGATTAAACTTCTCGTTATATTTCATATTTTCTGTACAGTAAAGTGGATCTGGATGTTTTCCTTCGTCGGCACGAGATATCTGCTGCAGTGTAACGGGCGACGCTCCTTGAAGCAAAAAACTCTTTCGATCTCTGGCCCCATCGCCGACCTCATCGTTTCCACGGAAATTGTGACAGCTACCAAAATTTGGCGTCAATTTTGGGCCCATTTTACCGTCGTCCGTGTCACTCTTGCTCCGCTTGTGAAAGATTTTCGTTTGTGTACTGGAGGAATTATGGCACGATCGAACATCGCTGATTTTGCCCAGGGCGGGAACAGCGGAGTCGCACAGTGATGTGGGCTGCTTGCCATGAACATTGGAATAACCATTAACATTAACTTTAATTTCAGCGACCGTGATTGACCTCTCGAGCTTTTTCAAGTTCGTCCTTGGCAGCGTGTTGACGACTCGCCGTTGAGAGGAAGATGACCTGGGTCGAGCAGAGATTTTTGTCTTTTCAGAGGATTTTAAATTTTCTCTCATAGTAGAAATGGCCGATTTTCGTCCATCAGCATCAACTTCATAAGGGTTAGTGCGATTGTTTGGAGAAAAGTTTATAGATTCAGAACCATTATCTTTAATTTTTAGTTCCTTAGTTTCAGCAGTAAATTTTTTGATGTCATCGTATAGCTTTTGTCTCTTTGTTGTTGACAATGAACGTCTTCTTTGGGATGACGAAGTCTTATCGCTTTTTCGTCCTCGGTCAAAGTTTAGTTCTACATGACCTTCTACACATGCAACTTCTGAAGCGTCGTCACCACCTTGGACACCGGACATGTTCGACACCCTTAGCTGCAATTCATCATCTTCTACGTGGCTTGAAATAGCCGTGAACACAGGACTGGCATTCAGAGGGGAAGGAATGTAACAAGGACTTTCACTTCTTTCCCTAGAACACGACTTGGACCGGAGTGGTATCTGGAACACAGCGTGAGTGGGAGTGACGTTCCTAAGGCTCAAAGAGGTACTGGACTCTGGGTCTGATTGGCTTTGTGGTTCACAAGTCGACTTGTCTCCTTCATCAGCTATGTTCTTCTCTTTTGGGTCATCTTCAGCCACGGGGGATACTTTATCAGTGGTAAAAGTAATCGTGTTCATCAGACCAAGTGAATCTGGAATCAGTTCAAGGCGATGCTCTTTCACTTCAGGTTCCCTGAAAGATTCTGAAGAATCTTCGTCATTCCTATTTTCAAGGTAATCTCTCATGATTAAGTTAGCAAACTGCTTCTCTTTCATTATGGTGTCTCTGAGAATATCGAAAGCAGCTTTTACTGAGATGTCTGTACTACCGCACGGTACCTCTGGATTTTCTTCGTTCATTTGTGAAATGTTCTTCACATGAGACTCCAGGAATGTTTGCTGCTCATCTTCAGCGCTACTTTCTTCCTTCAATTCGGGCAAGTTTGGAATCGAACATTGTCTACTAGGAGCATCTCTCTGCTCTTCATCCTTAAAAGTACCTGCAATGTTGCTCTCAGGTGCAACCAAGTCGTGTTCACTCTCTGGAATTGACTCCAATGACTGCACAGATGATACAGAATGTCTTGGTTTAGTAATCGAGTAGCTTTTTGTTAGTGACGAATCGAAACTGTCAGCATTACTGTTCGACGGTCCTAATGCATTGTTGAATTTTTGTTCGATTTGAAAAGACGAGTCGCGAATAACGGCCTCTTGTGAAACGCCTACTGGCAAAGAAACTTCCGTGTCAGGAGATGTTGCTATTGAAGTTACTGTACTAGGAGCAGCAGCTGCAATGGTTCCTACTGCAGAAGATGATGCATTTGGGTTCGTCTTTATGTTTGTTCTAAACATTTTTCTTGAAGTGGTTGGGGATGCTCCCAACTTTGCTATAGTTCCCATTTTTGGCCCAGGTTGAGTCTTCCTTCCAGAGGGAGAGTTGGGTCGAACAGATAGACTTGATAAACTTGAACTGGAAGTTGACGGAGTTGATTCAAGGGAGTGTTTACAGTCGAGATTTGTTGGACTGAAATTATTAAACTGTGATGAAGAGGGTATCACATTACTAGGAGATGGAGGGGCGCTGTAAATACTGCTACCGACTGACGTGTCTTCGTCGTCATTACTAAGAGTGTGAACTAAAGTAGAGTTGTGGTTACTAGCGCAGCTTGTCTTGGGACTGATAGGCTTGGCAGAAATTGGATAATTTTTAATAGACTCTTTTGTCGCTTCAGAAGCTTCTTCTTTCAGAGGTTTGAGTGCGGTAGAGAGCAAAGAGGAAACTTGCTTTGCAGAATACATGCTTGGATATCTCGTCGACTGGATTTCCTTAGTCTCGTTAGCGCATAACTGGTTCGTTGTTATGATCTTTGGAGTAGAAGTTGAATTAGTGACAGCCAGATCCTCATCGACGAACTCAGTAGTGATCGACGGAATAGAGGATCTCGAAGAGGAGGTGGAGAGTGCGTAGCTGTACCTACAACTAGATGACTTCGAGTGAATTTCGGATGTTTCACTAGCCGAATTAAGTTGTAAATCACTTGATGACAACTGGTCAAGAGACGCACAGCTGTTACTGCTATGTCCGTTGGATAAACTCCGAGACCCCGCTTGCGCAGGCAAAGTTTCTGCTTTCTTAAAGAAAGAGTTCGAAGGCTGCGACGCATCTCTGGCGTCGTTCGCTTTGCACGTGTGTTTTTCTTTCTTTTCTTTGCTTGGTTTTTTATTTTTATCTTTGCTATAATGTCGACCGTTCAAATCCTGAGCAGGATAATTTTTACTTTTAGTTTTACTTTTCAGAAATCCAAACATAATGTAAGCCTACTTATTGTTAATTCGGTCTTTACCAGCGCCTGTTGCGAAATGAAGGAACTCGGAAGCAAAAATTAATGCACACAAAAGTAAATTTCATAATTTGAAATCGAAAATGTAAAATGTGAACAATATTCATGATGATGCAGAAATCTAAAATAACCCGAAAAATCACACGAACTAATATAACTCAGAAAATTGCTAGAGGTGTGCTTTAACAAAATAATTAAGTTTAGTTAATGGCATTTAATTCATGGGCAACATATACCACACGTCAAAATATGCTTGCTCAGTATTTAAAGAACAAATAATTTTTTTACATTTTGTCGCAGAATGTCATAAGACTCGCAATTCAAGCGTGACTCGGAAACGAAGAGTGAACACAAATGAAACTTTAGGGAGGTGCAAATTTTTAGTAAGATCAGGAACTAAAAATAATATTAAATAATGCGTTTAATAAATATTAAACTCAAGTCATTCTGGCCCGCTGGATGTGATCGATAATTATAAAAATCATTTAAATTGTACGTGCATTTTTTTTCTTCAGCACTTGACATTAGGATTACTTTCACATCACAATTAGCCTGTACGCAATAGACTAAGTCAAATGCGGATTAAGCACTTATTTAAAATTAACAAGATTTTATCGTGATTTTCTATCAAATTATAACACAATACAAGGAAAGATGAAATTTGCACGACATAAACGTAATTTATAATTAGTTCACGCACTCAACACTGATAGCCACTACCGGATAATTTCATTTCATCAAATGAT